CGCGTCTAGGGTAATATTGAAGCATCCGCGTTTAGGGTAATATTGAAGCATCCGAGTCTAGGGTAATATTGAAGCATGCGCGTCTAGGGTAATATTGAAGCATCCGCGTTTAGGGTAATATTGAAGCATCCGAGTCTAGGGTAATATTGAAGCATCCGCGTCTAGGGTAATATTGAAGCATCCGCGTTTAGGGTAATATTGAAGCATCCGAGTCTAGGGTAATATTGAAGCATCCGCGTCTAGGGTAATATATTAACTGAGCTATCGTATACTGCCATGCAGGCGGATAAAGGAAGAATGTCTGTGTGCTTATATGCTCGTTGAAATTAATATATAAATCTTATGCATTATAATGCAGTTGAAAAACTATTGCCATTTTAATGAAATTTTTGCAGGTAAAATGACTTGGCTAGTTACAAGAAAATGTTCTTATATATATTAACACATTTATGCATTTTGCTGAGCGTTCACTCAATATTGTTATGAATGCGAGTCCTGAGCAGCAAAATGCGTCTATAAAGCCAACAATAAACCTACAGTAGCGAAGCCAGCATCTGAACAACACGACCAATTCTCCGCTGTCTCCAGTAGCCCTTCATCACATTCACCACATTCACCACAAAAGAGGTGAAATTTTCTACAAGTCACCTTGGTATCTTAAGAAGAGAAAAGCCTTGGTTCTTTTCTAAGGAGCGTGATTGACATTCGCTGAATGAATGCAATCATCGGGCCAAACGCAGCCCAAAAAATGCCTCGCCGGACGCTCATATTCCGCTTTAGTTTTCCCGGACTCCAACAGCGACAAAACAACGCAACGTTCCGCGTCTGGCTTCTTGTTCCTGCTTTCAGAAACTTCAGCGACTTTCAGTGGCGGGTGAGATGATGAAGCTGATATAGTGATAGATACTACTTCATTATTTGTTATGTGTCGGTAAATTGTGTCATTTTGCTGCTAAATGAACAGTTTGGAGATGATGAAGCTGATATAGTGAAGGGTACCCCCTGATATAGTGAAGGATACCCCCTGATATAGTGAAGGATACACCCTGATAAAGTGAAGGATACCCCCTGATATAGTGAAGGATACCCCCTGATATAGTGAAAGATACCTCCTGATATAGAGAAGGTTTCCCCCTCACACACACCATCTCTAAATGGCCTTCTAAATTCATCACTTTTTTTCTCATGATCGTATTTAAATTTCACTCAGAATAATTAAAGGGTTCTACTTCACAAACAATTTCACTCAGAATAATTAAAGGGTTAAACTTCACAAACAATTTCACTCAGAATAATTAATGGGTTAAACTTCACAAACAATTTCACTCAAAATAATTAATGGGTTCTACTTCACAAACAATTTCACTCAGAATAATTAAAGGGTTAAACTTCACAAACAATTTCACTCAGAATAATTAATGGGTTCTACTTCACAAACAATTTCACTCAGAATAATTAAAGGGTTAAACTTCACAAATATTGACACACTTGGTTGCAGATAGCACGAGCAGAGAGCGAGCTAGGCACTGACATGCTTTTTTTCCGGGCTTAAGTGGGTCAGGATGACTCACTCGCGGTTACAAAAAGTTGAAAATTATTGAAACGGAAAAAAATATTAGAGAAACAATAAGTTGATTTATTTGATTTTCTATCTCGTTATTTAATAGCAGCTACTCAGTAACATATATTCTATTCTAGTGAAGAAAAACGTATATTATTCGTATATAATTCGTATGTATGGTGATTTCTTAACGAAAATGGGCACATTGTAATTATTGTACATATGAACATATATGATCGCAATGGTGCGCTAAATGCTTCATGAGCCAATTCAGACTGCAATAATTTTAATTAGTTATAGCCAGAAAACGGGCTTAACCTTAACTAGTGAATATACGCTCTACTTAACTTAACCTTAACTTCTTAGCCGTGGACACAGCCTTTTGCTGCTTAGTCGAGAACACATTGTTTTCCCTGTTATGGAAGACATTGTTCTCCCTGTTATGGGAGACATTGTTCTCCCTGTTATGGGAGACATTGTTCTCCCTGTTATGGGAGACATTGTTCTCCCTGTTATGGGATACATTGTTCTCCCTGTTATGGAAGACATTGTTCTTCCTGTTCTGAGTAGACATTGTTCTCCCTGTTCTGGGGAGACGTTGTTCTCCCTGCGCTGGGGAGCAATTGTTCTCCCTGTTCTGAGTAGACATTGTTCTCCCTGTTATGAGGAGACAAAGTTCTGCCTGTTCTGTGGAGACATTGTTCTCCGTGTTCTGGGGGAGACGTTGTTCTCCCTGCGCTGGGGAGACATTGTTCTCCCTGTTCTGAGGAAACTTTGTTCTCCCTTTTCTGAGGAGACATTGTTCTCCCTGTTCTGAGGAAACTTTGTTCTCCCTGTTCTGAGGAGACATTGTTCTCCCTGTTCTGCGATATTGTTCTCTCAGTTACCCACCCGTTCTGAGATGTTATTATTCTTCCTGTTATCCAGCTTCCGCGTTCTCTGTTATCAGAGTTCTGCAAAGTTCGTCTAACTCCTTCCTTACACAATATCAATGAATCCATTGTTCTATTTGTCTCTAATATTCGAATAATTTAATGTTCTTCATTTGTGAACGTTCAAAAAATTCTTTCTTATTCGCGTTCTATATCAGTAAGAAGCCGCGAACAAATGTTTTCTCTGTTCTCAACGTTCTGGCAAGTGCTTGTTCTCTTTGAAGTGACAACCAACTGTTCAAGCTCGTATAAATGTTAGCTTTTAATATACATAATTTTTTCCAAAATCAGCTTGCAGTCTCAACTTACATTAACAACTAAACTGCAATCCATTAACAATTCTCTACTAGATCATGATAATATGCATTTAAAAATTACTTTTTAAAGACAACACTTCTAAAGAATCCAGTGTCTCCGATTTTACACATGCACAATGAATTTCTAATTATATTATCAAATATTACAATAATTAATTTTTAAATTTCATTTTTTAAATAAAAAAATACATTTTCAAAGTTATTTATTCTGTCAATTGATTCATGCATTGCCTCCGACTTTACGCTGTAAAGGAAACGAAGAAGTGTGATCGATTGGAAATTTAGAAGTGTGTTAACTATTGATTATAAGATTTGTAGCAGACAGACAACAAGAAGTGAAGTTAAAGAGAAGTTTTGTAATAAAATACCTGTAAACGGGGCCACTAGCGGAATCCAGTGCAATGTTTAAGTACTAACCACAATTTAATTTAATATTGACCTCATACATAGGCGCTACAGGCCACGGAAGGGCCAATACTCCGTTTCACTAAGCCAGTGAAACGCTGATTAGTGGCGGTATCAGTAAATTGTCTTGGCCCCATTATATAGCGGTCGTTGTACAAGCAGTACGGAATAAAACCGCGTAAATCATGTGAAGATCGTTAAAATTTCATGCTATAGGCTACCTTGAAAATCCTAAACTTCAATGTAAGATCGCTGTTGCATATACGATCGCCTTAATTGAAAGCTATATATAACGTGCAAGACTTAAAAAGACCTCATCGAGAAGATACGAACTATGGGAGAAGATCACTATACTATTAATTTAAAAGTATACTGAACATCGGCTTATCAGTTTACAATGCCATGAGTAACTTTCAAATCCAACTTACGATCATCGTCTCAGTTGCGGTCAGCTAGACACAGAGAGTAACGTGCAAGGCATGACCATATCATCGAAAACAGACAAATGATGCATTTCAGATTCATATTATTCATATGTTTTGTCCACCAGGTCAATATTTCTAGTTACCAGATAACCGTGTGCACGGATATAGTCTTGAAAGATATAGCAAGGCATTCTCTAGAGAAAATTATGTGGAAAGAAAACACACGAATGATCTGAATATTAAATTACAAAATTTAATAGATCTGTAGATCGTCCACCAGGTCAATATTTCTTATCACCATTGAAACTTCCTAAACCTAAATTTACCATCGTTGCAGTTACGATCGCATTATACGGTGAGAATAACCTGCAAGCTTCCTATAGGAGCGCAGCAGGAGCTATTGGAGGTGCTGAGGTCGCCGAACAAACCAACATAATGGGGTTTATTATGAAAGGCTTTATTGAACAGCGGTGTTGAAAGCTGCAGTGCCAAGGCGCTTTGTCGAAGCTGCTTTGTCGATGCCGCTTTGTGGCGCAAACTTGCAATTTATTGTGCATAATAGAGCGTAATTGCAACGCAAAACACTTCGTCTTGTCCGCGTCCTCCTTGAGCATCAAACTTAGCTCGGTCTCAAGTGTCAAGTCATCCGGGACGATGCATTGCAGATGTGAATAGTTTCCTAGAAAGTGCGTACTTTCACTAATAAAAGTTAAGTGAAAAGTTAGAAGATAAATTCATGTATAGCGAAATTTGCAAAGGCTATTCGTTCTACGTACATAATTACAGATACTCGGTGGACGCTTAGGGCGAGTTCTTCAATCCTACTGATCGACAAGCTGCATCAATTCTTGGGGTAAATCAGAATCGTTTCGATTTAATCTGCGCGTAATCCAGAATCATGCGGAAAATTATCCAACTAACGTTATGTCTAATACCAGAATTGTAGAATTTCTACCATGGTCAAATAATTTTCTCGAATCCCTTCGATAGTCAGACGGATTCTACGATTGGAAACTACTGAGTTGCGAGAACCGGTTATTCTTGCGACACGTCTTTGCCTGTGGAGTTACCGGTAGATTAACGTAATACATTGTAGATCGATAAAATATAACTCGACGTTAAACAAACCTAACCATCGACCAAAGGCATTTCTTGCTCTGCCACAATAATCTCGTAATTTTCAAATTTCCCGTTGCCAAATCAATAGACGCCTCAGAGACCATGCGACAATTTCCAATTTGCATATATAAATATTGTCGACGCTTTCGCTTTCATTTAAGCAAGATGAATGAGTGTGACCAAACTGTTCAGGTAAGAAAGTAAAGAAGGTCCGCTTCCAACAGAATTTATTCCAATAGAAGTTTCACAATCACACAATCAACTATCTCGACTGACCTTGCAACACGTCTATAACGGACAGATTACATTTTTGAAACCCTAAGAACCAGGCACCTATGCCTAGACGTCCCAAGAACTTAATGGTTCTCACTTCTCAACTTTGGTAACGTGAACGGGATCTTGGGCACATCGTAATAATATCCAGTGGGATGGTTATAATGCATAGTCATTCCAGGTCCACTGCTAGAAGTATCGTGTACTGAACTCGTGCGAGTCCTACCCTGTGTAGTAAGGGGAGTGTATTCAGCAGTGATGGTTATTTCTTTCCTAACGAACGACGTTACTGTAGAAGCTGGCAGGAGTACAGTGCTGTACACTACAGTGGGTACACCGACTTTCTGAACGTGCGTACACTGGGTGAAGACTACGGTTTTAGGAGGTCCTGGTTGTACTGCGAATACATTACTCGTCAAGTCTTCGAAAACCGTGTTCGTAACCGTTGAACTTACGAACACGTAATTGGTTTTCGTTGACAGTGCTCTAATGGGTATATTTTGTTTACGATCTCCATCTTGCGGCTTGAAGATGGGAATGAAGCCTTCATTGTTTTCCTCTTCCAAATTGAAGCCAGTCAGAGCCACCGTGCCTGGAATGGAGCCTACTGGACCTCTTCGTATGCTGGGGTCGAAGTCATCGCCGAAGTCCAGTTGACGTCTTCGCCGGCCGTCAGATTCCTGTCAAATCGCGATGAGATTAACAAATTTGAAATGGAGACTAAAGAATTGGCAGACTGCAAGAAATGAAAAGTTTACTGAACGACGTGTAAGATTAGTAGAATTGTACGAGATTTTAATAAATCTCACGTGCACAATAAATTTGCCCCCACTAGATTGGGCAAGAGAGAGACTTGGTGACCAGAGTGAAAATTAATACGCTGTTGAAACTTACTTGGTCCTGCCTGTATGCGCAGCTTGACTGGCACACCAAAAGCCATACGCACACAAGAAATGTCGTGCGCATTGGAAAGCCCATCGTTGTCACTACACTAGATAACTGTAGGTAAAATAAATGGTTAGTCAATAATCAATTTCTAACTTGGAAGAATGCTAATTATTTCAAGGGCACAAAACTTTTCTCATCAGGAGTGCGCCAAAAGGTCACCGACTACACAACCATTCTCTGATCTGAATCAATCTTATACCAGATTGGAGTTTAGTGCAATACCTATTGTACTGAATAGCATTGATAGTCCGCTAATTTACAACTAGAAGATCGTCAACAGGTAAAAAAGATCGTCAACAGGTAAACACTTACTATATTACCGAAAAACGAAATTCAGAGTAAAGGTCACTGTCGTACATGAACGCTTAATTATCCTGTCTAGTATATCAAATCACAGATAACCGCAACACGAGCTAGTTCTAGACTTTCACAGATATCACTTGCTACTCGTGATCTGTAAAGCCATCCCCCGACAACTACCACGTACACACTGTAGCCCACAGGTGCACATCTAGCACTTCACTTCAACCTGTCTTACTCAATATAGTAATCAAACTCCCTACTATGCATACACTCAACAGTTAGCTATATACATGGTCTTCCGATCACATTAACAACCTCTTGCTGTAAGTGGCAACTGAACATTCAACTATTGAGGTGAACAAAGCAAGTGAGGTTAGGTCGTAATGTTGTAGTCAGACAACACCAACCTGACATTACTGCGGCCGGACCGGCGAATTTGCACGCAAAATATACACTTATTGCAGTTCTTTGCAGTTTTCCTTCGTTAACTATGAACCATTTTGAATAAAGTTCAAAGTATTTCTCATTAATATTAATTAACGCAAGCGTCACCAGAATGTCCATATTCCGCTGCGTTCTTAGTGCAACGGAAAACGAAAACCTTACGTTATTTTGCCATGCAAATCTCCGTTCATTTTGAACGCGTCAAATGGCCCAGCGATATCAGTGTGCTGGCAACGTGGAATAATGTTTTTATTCAACGCAGGCTATTATTCTACGATTAAGGGGAGCGTCTACCCTAAAATTGAAAATTTTCACTTTTTCGGTTTTTATACTCATTTTAAAGCTGACATTCTGCCCTATCCAACGGTACCACTGCCATATCTGTACGTTGATTTATGATTTCACGACATTTCATGAAAGGGGGGCGGGTGGGGGAGTTCTTTAAGTAATTTTTTGGCCGTTTTCTAAGAATTTCACGTTTTCTTTCATTTTTTTCGAAAAATTCACACGAACAAAAATGTCTTAGAATTCTGTTTTACATATGTGTACCAAGTTTCAGAGTGATCCGTTCGTAAATAGCCGAGATAAATTTTAGGGTAGACGCTCCCCTTAAATAAACATTTAAGCTAAGTTGTGCCGACAGTTTAGGTTTGAAATATGAAATTGTGTGCGATTCTGAAACTGATCATCCCTGATTTATTTACGAAAACAGACATTCATTCAGGTGTAACTGCTTGAACAAAATTTCCCCAGAAACGCGTTTGATGAAAATTCACTTCAAGTAAAACATCGAAAATCAACAAAATCAACAAATTTACGTTTCAACTGCGGTTTCAACCCTTTTTGGAATTTAAGGTTCCTTCTCATCAGGGAAATTCTTTGTGATATTTATCTATCAATATCTCAATCTTTTACACTTATAACGACTCAATGAACATTGTCAGAACACCTTCCCATTTCTCGTATATTGTGGACATCTAGGGAGCAGGACTCCAAAACTTGAGACCGTGCTTCCGTGCTTAGCATATTTTCAATGGAAAGGTTTCGGGGACCAGCTCCATCATCATTTAAAAATTTTTTTTATAACATATGTAATGTACATTTCGATTTTCCTAACTGTTTGGACTTATGATGAAAGAGCTGGACTCGTTTGCATTGAAAGTGGGGTGAATAAGCTTGGCATTCTCTTTTTTTTATTCGTTACGAACTTACGAATTAAGGAGATTAGTGATAAAAGTACTTGAGATTATATGATCCATTACTATACTATAGATACCAGGTATCAGGTACTTAGTTCCGTTTGAAGACGGTCTACAGGATGTGCTTTTTTCGACGCCGATCAGGTTTCCCTCATCAAGTGTTGAAGAAAATGTTCATAGCTCTCAAGGGTTCGAACCCTCGGCCAGATTCTGTTATGGCAGAGCCACATGCACTGTGCGTGAAGTTACTGTTTATCATATAAAGAAATTCATTTGAAGATTAAAAGAGGTGCTTCTCCCACTTAAGGCTTCTGACCTTAAATAGGACCAGAAAAACTGATTGTTTGGCGTGTATTCATTATTTAATTATTTATTAATCAAATTTGACTACAGGAGCCATGACGAGGGTATTTTATTCCGATGTGAAAAATGAAATTATACCGCTATGTCTGTTAATAATGGACCTGAAAAACTGTTGGTTCAACGTGGCTTCATTATTTAATTATTCATTAAAATCAAACTTAGTTACAGGGACCATGAAGAGGGTATTCTATTCCAGTGTGGAAAAATTGAATTATTATTTATTCCGCGCTTTCTGAACATTGCAAATGGTGTGCAATATTTTTAATTTCGTCTCACCCGGTTCGTAATTGATGGAGCTATGTGCGGCGTTTAGTCCATTGAATTTTACTCATGATTGTCAATGACAAGTTCGATTTCGGTTAATTATTAAGAGCACAGAAAAATTTGCCAATTATCAGCACCGTGATATACAATTAAAGGTATTTGTTTATTTATAATTGAGTAATAAATATTCTTTATTCCTGATAAAAAATGGTAATTGCAAATACCTATTATGCAAGTATTAATTAGTATCATTTTCTGAATACATCGAATAGGCTGAACCATTACTGTAGTATGATCCCAAACATGTCGCTTCGATTGATCATGTTCGATATTTAGTTACTCTTTTTCGTGAGGAAATTGTATTATATTAATAACGGCTGTTTTTTTCAGAATTTTATATCCGGTCCATAATTTTGTTCGCATTTTTCAATACGTATTATTTTGTGAACTGTAACTCTAGTTCTCAGGCCAGGTAACAATAAAACGGAAGACTGTTTATGCATCCGCAGTCCGAGTGGCAAATGCTGTGTTCATTGATTCATACGAGGTTATGTTAAACATGGAACATGCGGCGGTAATCAGTTAACTCTTCAGTACTCGTAGGCTTAGAGTGGGGTTCAAATTGGTTCGTGTCATAATTGTTTCATTGTGGGTAGGGTAAGCTGTTCTCTACGAGGATATCAAGTAGGGAAAGTTAGGAACTAGTGACTTCTTAATGGGAGTTTGGGATTTTAGGCAAAAAATTCATTATCTTACGTGGATTGTTTACTAGCGTGTAAAGAATGCAATGAAGCATAATGTAGTTTCAATCTCGATAAGTACCTAAAGTCAATAGATAGTGTCAAGAAGTAGGGATAGTCATAACGCAGTCTAATGCTCAATTTTTACATTTTAATTTCAGTCGTTAAATTAGACTAAACTGTGTTCCTGATTTGGTTAGATTTCAGGCGAAATGCTGTGTCCCCTGTATAAGTTGGTCCTGTGCACAGCAGTGGTCTGTCTGCTGCCGGTCTCTTCGCTATCCCGACCAATGGTAAGTTTTCTAATCCTCTACTAAATTCAGTTTTCGTCTACACTGGGTGATAGCAGAGAGTTTAGTAATTGACTGCGATGCTTGTAGTTTCATTTAGTTTTGAATGATCTAAATGAAGATTAACCTCTTCCTTCCATTAGTTACGTGTGTATGCTGAACAAGGACGCCGCCGAACATTTTCTTGTCGTTGAAAATTACTGTCTTCCGCAGTTTACTTTTCAAAATTAACGTGTACTCAACTTACTAATTAAGCAGAGACTTTCGCAGCTTTCGGCGTTAGCCTGATAAACGTCAGTTGAGCCGTTTGCACTTGCACGCTAGAATTTTGACAAAAGTTCAGTAATTTGTACACATTTTGCATTAGATTTTGTCTCACGGTTTTAATAAGTTCGCCTAACCATTTCTAGCATGTGTCTTCATTAGGTTTAGAGTTTTGTATCTGAAACTAGGACTTAAATAAATTTGTAACTTTCCCTCGCAGAAAATCTATCGTCTGAAGCGAGAGCTCGTATACTCCAACCCTGCGGATCCAAACTCCCACTCCGTGGTACGAAGCTCCCACGACCAGGCTAGGTCACCGGACGGCCACGCTGCCCCCCGACTGAACCTGGTCACAGCTACCCTAAACACACCTGCACCTCAGGAAGATGGGGTCACCGTAACTCAGACCATACCTCACTTGGTCACGGTGACACAAACAGTAACGCGTCAGCGGGCTCACACTTTAGTCCGGGTTGACGACTCTCTGCAGAACACGGTCGTGCACACGAAATGTGTAACTAAAATAGAGCCACAAGCGACCGTCGTTTCTCGGGTCATCATAACTCCTGTTCCCCGGACAGTCCAAGTCGCCATAAGGACTTACTCTACCTTAACGCGGTACCTTCCAGAAGCCAGAGGTGCCCATACTCCAGTGGTCCATACGCGACCAGCGTCCACTCGGGGTTACACGTATGAAGAACCTGAAATTGCTTTCCACCATGGAAGACGTGAGCGCGATCTGGCCTACGGTTACGATACCTACGATACCACTGACGATGTCTGGAACGAACTGCCACCGCCCGCACCTCCCATTAATAAAAACGAGAAATTTAAAGATTTCGCTACTCTTACTTTGATCTATGAATAAAACCCAATTCATGTAGCAAGATTTGTAATAAAAATGTACCTTCGTATAATCAGCCTTTTACTTATTTTCTGTAGCAAACAGGAAATTCTAACTGAATTATGCGCGTATAGTCTTGAGCTTCAGCTATGCGACGACTGTCGCCTCACACCTTTTTCTATCGGAAAATTAATCCTTAGACAGTTTCAATCGCGACTATTGGTGAATTTTGTCCTTATCATGTGACTACAGATAATTGATTACACATATTCGAGGTACATAGCGACGCTCTTTCTAAATGAGACTACGTACGCAAATGACAGTACTGGACGAGTGATTTTTGTTCAGATTGGCAATATAATTAAGACGACTGACACGATCTGGCAAATGTGTAACTTGACTCTGCTGAAACTTCCATCGAAAGACTTGGCGATGCACGAATGATAAATAATTTGGTGATAATCTTTTACGTACAAATGTCATTGATAGAATGATAGAATAACTATTGATAAGAGGATAGGGATGGATGACGGGCGGAATACCTTAGACGAGCTACTATGAGATCTGGAAGCTCTGTAAACCTCCGAGAACAGTTCTAGTGCCTTACCCAAGATACCGATGAAGGAAAAAACTGAAAATTGCACGTCACCCTTCCCATTAGCTAAAATCAAGTAGTCGGTAATTAAAAAATGGTAAATGCCGATACCTTTCGTCAGTCCTTAAAAATTAATCCTCAGCTGTGACCAATAGGAATCTATCTTCGCTTCTGAAACTGTTCAGTAGCCCATGTACTAATATACGGGAAAATGACGTATAATACCAGGGGTAGTGGTCACGTACAGAGAGTTTGGGAACTTTCATCATGTAACACCCTTCAACGAAATGCAGGCAGGTTATCGTATTTCGGTCTAAGCTGACTGATGGCATGCACGTGTCGTGCCGAAATCGTGAAATTGCAGATTCCATGGAATCGGCAGCCAGTTGGCCGAATCTGTAAAATCAGCATCTCAATGTATGGGAATGTGGGGTTACGTAAGGAATAGGAATGTGGGGTTACAGTAAGTTCTTTTTTTTAATATTTACATAAGAACTTGACCGAAACTTTCCTGAAAATAACTGTCGATTTATGTTCTAACCTAACGTCCGATATTCTGAATAGGCAACATAATTCTGATTCTACAGATTCGGCAACTGGCTATTCCGGCACGACACTCGCACCAAAGCGTACTGGAGAGATACTGAAATTCTTATTCCAAGCCGTCTTGGCTCAATGTAATAAAGAAAAAACCATCCAAAAAAAACAATCCAGATTCAGAGAATGAGTTTCAGTAGTCTAGAATTGGCGCATTAAGAAAGCCCTATTAATCTTAATTCAAAGTGTAAATTTTTGCGGATCGACGTTTTTCAGGCTATGTACGCGGTGTAGACATTCATGTTACCCCGACAGAGGTCGGATCACGGCAACACGTTTTCTAGTTCAGTTCATCAATGAGCATATATAAAACTTTAATCGAGAACACGATACCTCGTTCGGTCTTGCTTGTATTGACAGCGGCTGAAATTCTGATAGTAATTAGATAGCTCACATCGCCCCTACCCATTTGTGCTCCATCATTTCAGAAATTACATAAAGTTTTGGCGAATTTTCCGAGGAACCAAGAAGGGAAGCCCTAAGGATCGCAATGCGATTGGTTGGCAGGAACCTGTCACTGAAATAAGATAGATCAATCTTCATTACCAATAGACCTGAGAAACTTTTTTTCGATTACATATAAAATTCTCAGTAGTCACTGTCAACAGCGAGCGTCCGTTCGACATTTTTATCAAACTTCAGCGGCAACTCCATACTCTATGATTCCACTCTAAAATCCACAATCACAGATGCTTACTCTTCTCGTTGTATTCATATCTTCAAATTCTTTTCTAATAAAAAGAAAAGAACAGATAGTTACATGTACTTAGCGCTCCAGCCCGATTAAATTTCCAACCGGCATCAAGATCGATAATAATCAGTTTCTCAGATCGAATTTTGACAAGTCCAGTATACTAATATAAATCATTTGGTTCTTTACGCTTCATGAAAAAGATACGTCCAACACACTACTTGCCAAACTTTTCCCAACAATAATTTACTTAAATTTTCGAAGTGAGAAAAGTCTGATTTTCTAACTGTCAAAATCCTATCTCAGGGCATTAGCATTGACAATGCCAAAAATTTGAAGGATGATACGACAAGCGTTTTACTTCAAATTTAGTTTAATGAAGTCTAACAAGGCTTACAAATATTTTACCGTCTCTTGTTATAAAGATCATACAGTTCAACAATCCTCACGATATCATCAGCCGAATCAAGCTTGGCCGCTTTGAACAGGACTTTACCATCTACGATGCCAGACACTCTACGGACATCCACGACGTCCTGGTCTACCTGCGGAGCCAGTATCTCCTGGTCGTATTCCCCTTCATATTCAGGCTCTGTACCGTCCTCTTCGTAGAGGAACTGGTCATATGAAGATTCAGGCTCCTTTTTCTGCCTAGAGGCTCTCAGGAGTTCCAGAGTCTCCATCAACTTTAGTTCTACAGCATCTGGTTGAGATTCTTCAATGGCTTGATCAACGGAAGGAGTGACTACGGTTCTCGATAGGACGGGTTTAGATTTCACCTCTTGAGGGAGATCCTGCCGGTGCTTTGGCGATTTGTAGGCAGACTTCTTTTCGTATTTGATGTCTGAAGGAGCATCAACGACCGTTTCCCTACGACGTCTTTCCAAACTCTGTTCTATTTGCTTATTTAGATGAGATTCTACCTTTGCTTCTTTACTTTTGGGGACAGTTTCTTTGTGAGGATTTCCTATGAAGTATTTTTGGTGCTCCTTTCGAGAGTCCCTCCCCAAGCGGGCATCACGCGGCTTACTGGCAAAGGAGCTTTTATAAGAGGAAGAACGTTGATAGTGATAGGGACTCTTCTGCGAAGTTGTCTGGTCCGACGATTCAGTGGTAACTTCTTCGGAGGAAGAGGCTTCCGAAGATTCTGACGACTCGGAAGATTGAGTAGCCCTGTGAAGACAGAATATCTTACTATTCTTGTACAAAAATAGTGCCTCTACCTCGACATGCCGGCAGCTATGCATCAATGATCAAGAGGCCAGCAGTGGACGGACTGATTATTGTCGACATAAACTAGACATCCAACTTCTTATAATATTGCGTACATTACTTCTATATAGTAAGCATCGTAATTCAACCATCACGTCATGCATGCTCGTTTACCGATCAAGGACTATTAAGTAGGCAATATTTCTTTCTAAGATAATTCTCAAGAAAAAAAGTCTTAAATTTCGCCAATAGAAGTGGGACAGATTACCGTTTCTGTTAACTAACCTGTATTCGTGCCTAGATCCTCCTAATTTCTCCGACGATTTCTGCCATCCATCAGGGGAACGACGCTGCTTGGCAGGCTGGAAAACCGGGAAAATAGGTGTAACGATTAGAAATATCTTTTTCATCATGCAACAAAAAGCACAAAAATGCTTTATGATGAGTATGCATGAAGTTTCGTCTATAATCTGACGACATACCATGGCAGAAACTACTTGCCTACTAATATCTACAATATATTCTGGTATCAACTTTCTCCTAGCGGTAACTACAAACTTCGAATTCGTAAAATTACCAGGACCCCATCTTTTTCTTCAACACTATACGCCATGTACGACACAATTCATCCGCCTAAACTTTGGCCTAATTCAATAAAAGCCACTCACAGTAGGTTAAGAATTAAACCTTACGCTGCATACAACTTTACTTTAGCTATAATACTATCCTGTACAGACATTACCACCTGAAGAGCTTCAACTATAAATGACAGTTTGATCCATGTAACTACATTATCCCACAACATGTATAGTCTTCGGCAGGCGTAAGTCACATCATACCTTGCCAGCGTAGGCCAGAGCCACGAAGGCCACCAGAAGAATCACGTACATTAACTTCATCCTGTAGTTTTGCCTGCAATAAGAGACTACGGGGATTACTATCCGGAACACATAATAGACAGCTATTCCTACTCGTTGTAATAAGCACACGTATCGCGATATTAAGACAGTCATTAATGAATTGCATAACAAGACTAGGCTATTCGAATTTACACAACAATTTATAATACAATTTTCACTGCTTATTGATACTTACTCAGGCACTAGGCAGTCAAGAGACGAGTCGGTAGTGATTGATCACATCGGTTTACGCGAACGTCTACTTCTTTCATCATTACAGAAAATCAGAAAATTGTGCTTCAAATTTCAAGTGTTGCCACTTTCTGTGGACATCAAATTCGCTACTTGACGATTTCAGAAATGGTTTATTCCCAGAATCACAAATCCCGACCAAATAGAATTATTTCATCACGGATTTTAATAAAATACGTCAAAAATCGTTCTTGGCTCATGAATTGCCCTGTCACCTTTTAGAAATATGGTTAACGTTGCATGCACTAATCCTTAAATACTCAGAAGACATTTTTCCTGGCAAATTCACTGTTTTGTCGCCAATTCCCATAATTTATTCTGAAACAAACAAATGATACCATTTATCGCCTGACTGAGCTTGGGTGTCATGTCAACAACGGAGACGAATTCTCATCGTGAAAGCAGATTCTCGAAGCAAGATCTTTAATGACTATCGCGTTTTTACAACGATCGTGTTAACGTATAAGATAAAGGCTATCTTTCGACACAATTACGTAGTTGCCTTGCTGAGCGGCTCAATTTTCCACCTCATGCTGTGATTGGAAATACTGAACATCGTGCTTCTTCACCTAATGCGATGATTAGCAATTTTTAATTTAATTACTAAATTTCTTGTGATGATCGTGTCTACAGTATTAGTTAGTCTTATTCATACGGCTAAATGACTACAATCTCCTATAAATCATCCCCCAAAACTTAAAAACTCAGTCGATAATTTACAGCAATAAGTATGCTAGCTTTGGGCGACAAAACCAGCGACATGCGCCTCTCGCGCGGTCTGCTGCCCTCACCGCGTGGCGTTAAACGCGAGGTAAAGACAGCGGCCTGCGCCGCTCGCGCGGTCTTCCGCCCTCACCGCGTGGCGCTAAACGTCCGGTAAAGACAGCGGCTTGCGCCGCACGCGATCGGTCGTCCGCCCTCACCGCGTGGCGCTAAACGTGCGGTAAAGAAGCGGCTTGCACCGCTCGCGATCGGTCGTCCGACCTTACCGCATGGCGCTAAACGCGCGGTAAAGACAGCGGCCTGCGCCGCTCGCGATCGGTCGTCCGCCCTCACCGCGTGGCGCTAAACGCGCGGTAAAGACAGCGGCTTGCGCCGCTCGCGATCGGTCGTCCGCCCTCGCCGCGTGGCGCTAAACGCGCGGTAAAGACAGCGGCTTGCGCCGCTCGCGATCGGTCGTCCGCCCTCGCCGTCTTGGCCGAAAGCAGCGGCGCGTTTCGGTCGCGGCTCAACGCGACCTCCCGAGCCCATTCGAATGTTAATGCCTCCATTGAGTCGCTGTTGACACCAAAAACTAATGTGCTTTTTGGACGACATTACCATCAAAATATGGCGACTCGTAACCTTTGGAGGCACGGCACAATGCGCTTACTTTAGGGGCTCCTCGGGAAAAGATGAGACTTTCTCGTGTTTTTGGCATTGAAATGCGGTGCTATTGTGACGGACATAAAGGCCACGGGGCGCGATCGAAATGCAGCGAGTGCTGCAGCTTCATCGAATTTTCTGCCTGAAAATAAGAGCTTTACTTAAATTCTGCACTCCCGATCTGGGCTCAACGGCGAGGCTGCATGGATTTTTTATTTATCCTCCTTTTATTCATCCCCCTTTTATTCATCCACCTTTTATTCATCCCCCTTTTATTCATCCACCTTTTATTCATCCACCTTTTATTCATCCACCTTTTATTCATCCACCTTTTATTCATCCCCCTTTTATTCATCCCACTTTTATTCATCCCCCTTTTTATTCATCCCCCTTTTATTCATCCCCCTTTTAATCATCCCCCTTTTATTCACCCCCTTTTATTCATCCCCCTTTTATTCATCCCCCTTTTATTCATCCCCCCTTTTATTCATCCCCCTTGCATTGTGGGGTGTGGGGCTGCGATACGTACAAGAGATATTGAGTTATTTTAGCCAAGTTATTAGTTATTTATTTAAAAAGTTATTTATTTAAAAAGTTATTTTAGCCAAGTTTAAGTTTCCTTTTTTACGTACATTGATCGGAGAATAATATTGCATGCATTATCATGCTAATTTCTGAGGCAGCAATGATCTTATTTGCGTGAGACATCATTCATGACGCAATGATATTATGCATACTTTTTTAGTTTATTCAATCGAATATTTCAAGTCACGTGGGAATTATTTCATTATAATCGGTTAATTTTTCGTAATATATGAGATGATAAAAACTTTATTTTGCATATACGCGGACTTCATTTAATTGGGTTCAGCATTCAGGATTTTCATCACAATTAGCGTATAGTCACACACTTCATCACACACACTTGTCACACACACTTCATCACACACTTCAAAATTCAAACGTTTAGTTCTCCGATAATTATTGACAAATTCACACGCTTCCTTTGCGTGTCACATGAATTTCTAATGCATGGAAGTACATTAAAAGTATCTTGCTATTAACATTATGTCAAGATTTCATTTTAATAATATTAATAATAATACAATGTTTAGTTCATATTTTTAAAAAGTTAAGCTTGGGAGTCGTAATCTGCTACCAATATTCTGTGTTAGTTTACTTTTTAATGATGTCATCTGTCGGCACAATGACAAGTAAAATGTTAATTGCGTTTACATTTTTATATTTCAATCGAGGTCACCATGCATCCATGGCTTTATTCAAAGCAAACCCGCCATAGTTATTATATTCAATGCTGTATTTTCGTGCGCCTTGTAGCTCATGAAAATACTAATAAAAAATACTAACACTAATATTAAGTAATATTATTCGTGTCGAGCAGAAAACACCTTGTTTATACGACAGAGACAGCGACATCGCTGCTCGCTATTTCACCTGCTATGTAAAAACCTTTTCGTTTTTCCAAGGAACTTCAATGGCACTGAGACTGGATGAATATTGGAGAAAAATACAATAGCCTGCCGAAGAGGAAGTAAAATTGCGTATTGAGGTCCCAAGGAAGCTAATATTCTTCTTCTCATTGTAAAGAATTGAAGGCCAGACGACGATATTCAGAGCCGGGGTCTCTGCGCGCTGATTGACTGAGATTATTTTGTGTGGTGTGTTGTGTGGTGTGTTGTGTGGTGTGTTGTGTGGTGTGGTGTGTTGTGTGGTGTGTTGTGTATTGTGTTGTGTGGTGTATTGTGTTGTACGTTGTGTTGTGTTGTGCTGTGTGGTGTGTTGTGTTGTGTGGTGTGTTGTGTTGTGTGGTGTGTCTGTCTCTTATACACATCTAGATGTGTATAAGAGACAGTCAGTCATCAACCACCACTCATTCATCAACCACCACTCATTCATCAACCACCACTCATTCATCAACCACCACTCATTCATCAACCACCACTCATTCATCAACCACCACTCATTCACCAACCACCACTCATTCATCAACCACCACTCATTCATCAACCACCACTCATTCATCAACCACCACTCATTCACCAACCACCAATCATTCATCAATCACCACTCATTCATCATCAACTTCTCATTCATATACTTTCTCTCTCATTCATCGTTCATTCATCACTCCTTCATATTTTGACCAGCCGACCTGGGCAGAGCGTGAGAACTTTCTTCGCCCATTATTCTTTATTATTGATCCAAGAAGCCGTGTAGTTTACACGTGAATAGCATATGGTGGGCCGGCTCTAAACCGGCCCCAATTCGGCTCTAATTCCCAATAAGGTATGCCGTAGGAATCTTGATCTGACGATGCAAACAATGACTGGAATTCACGGCAGTGACCGTAGCCGTATCAAGTTCTGGCACCGCTATTCTCACTGCAATCCAGGAGGAAGCGATCTGATTTCACGGCAGGATGTGAATTTTTTTTACTTTGGGAGACGAGAAATGAAATAAAAGATTGGTTGACTGGCGCCTATATCAGAGATCTATTATAGCTAGACCTGCACCTTCTGTATTAATGTACTGGATATACCGTCATATATTTCGTCTAGATATATGAATATATCTATAAGAGTTCGTATTATAGCAAGAATTGGTCTGTATTACCGTATTAGGTTGTATATGTAAAAAGTGTATGATGGTTTACAGGAGCGGACGTAAGGAAATGTCAACGACAAAAACGATGTAGCCTAAAGGCCATATGAGTTCAGATTTAAATAGAAATAAATATAAAACTATTATTAGTATACAGTAGTGAATTGTTATGAAACATTTGCACGCGTATAACATGGACGCTCAAACTCTAAAACATAAATAACGTAAACATAATTCCGTGTTATCATCATACTTGTATATTCATAGAATACGTTTCTCAGACGAGTTCATCGATAAGCTCAAAAACTTTAATAAAACATTTATAGAAACAAGGATCTATTGGGAATATATTTAGATTACACTTGTATTCTCTAAGTTTTTTACTCTACCGAAGGAACAGGTTTCTGAAAAGTTCTTAGCAAGGAAAAAATTAATTTATTTGTCCTTCTCTTTGCTTCTAAATTTTTGGTTAACCTATGATATCAGTAAACTAACGATATTAAAATGAATCCACGTTCATTGTAATTTAAACAATTTAGAAGAAAATAACGTTTCCATCATTCAAACTGAAAAAATTATTCAATATTTTTCTAATCCCTCTTCAGAAAATGATATTGCATGTATTTCTCTCATACCGCCAGCCTTGAATAAAGCGAACCGAGTTCATGTTTTGCTTGCACGCGACCATGACAGAGCAGCCGTGACTACGCGCCTCACTGGCGGGACGTTGAGCGGTCATATGCTGGAGTCTCTGGCCCCGAGACGATGCTGGAGTCTCTGGCCCAGAGACGATGCTGGAGTCTCTGGCCCCGAGACGATGCTGGAGTCTCTGGCTCCAAGACGATGCTGGAGTCTCTGTCCCGAGACGATGAGAGGAGACGATGCTTGAGTCTCTGGCCCGAGACGATGCTTGAGTCTCTGGCCCGTGACGATGCTGGAGTCTCTGGTCCCGAGACGATGCTCGAGTCTCTGGCCCCGAGACGATGCTGGAGTCTCTGGCCCC